TCTTCTGTCACCACATCCTATGCGCAGCGCCATGTCTTCGGCTTCCTCACATGAGATGTTCCTATTGGCTGCCAGCGTCGCTATGTGTAAAAATAATGACGTTTGATTGGACGTTTGATTGGCCCCTTTCTGATTTAAAGTCGCAGACAATTGCATATGCTCTGGACTAAAAAATAATATTAATAATAAGAACTACTTCTACAACTGATAAAATATTCCTCAGCCTTTTATATTTTATTTTCATCTTTTAATGAGAACTACATTATCATACCTAGTATGCTTTAATGTTTGGAGGCTATGTTCAGAAAATAGGTACTACCACAATACTTATAGGCTTATTATTTTTGCAGTATATAGTATTGTGCACTATTTTGTACATAAAATACCTGTATGACCTACTACATTTACCAGAAATGTGCAGCATAAAACTGGAAAACACTTTGTGGAATCGTACCCCACAATGCAATGCACTAGACCTTCCTTTAGAGTGTGGAACATGAAGTAAAATCAACCTTGGATTTTAACATACTTTTGACTAGTTATTTGAACTCACTGAGTTACAACATTTTATTCACATAGAATTGGATTTAAATGCAAAATTACTATTTTTATTCCCATAATGACAATAGAATGAAACTCTGAATTAACTAAACAAATGAGATCACATGAAAACAATTTAGGAAACTATTGTTTGAAACATTTACAATTACATAATACATACTATTCCACTTACATTTTTTTAAATGCAGCACATAGTGTACACTGAGCTAATAAGCCAGTACTCCATTCCAAGCATGGCCTCAGTTTGGTGATGATCCTGGTTGTCATGTCTATGCGCTGACGTGCACAACACCATCACTGGAGTGCACTCCAGGAACCGGCGCACAGCAGTGGTGAATTACTACTACTACCATCAGCCAGGTCCATGCGTGGCAAACAAATGACACACAATATTTGCCATGATTAAGTCAGCAGGGGACTCTGAGGAAATGTCAGGTTTCAAAAACGCTTTCTCTGGCTATGTGATGGTTGTGCACAGCATTGCTTGTAAGAACCAAAAATACCAAAAGAAAAAAATACAACAACAACTATGGCACATTCATTTGCATTAGAATATGAAATAAGTGAGCAAACCATGTCACACTAGGTTACTTCCTGCATTGTTTTGAAGTATTAAAACTATATTTGGACAACTTTGTCTATTAAAATTCTATCTAAAATCTATTTTTAATGTCAGGGAAGATATTCCTCTCATGTGAATGTACTAAACATTTAAAGCTAACATGAAGTATTAAATAAATTATATATCAAGACAGAAGAGAAATGCAATCTATATTTTAATATACAATATACATCATATAACTAAAACTACACGGTCTGCAACAATAATATCACAAAATAACAGGTGTAGAATGGGAACTCACATTCAACATATTGCATATAGTTTGAAATTCCATTCATGGGTTACTTGGAAACTCCCTTTTTCTTGCTCAATGCCTTTCATCAACCTCAACTGTCATCTGTTAATCCAGTTTTGATAGCATTTGGCACACTTTCTTTGGATCACAGCAAGCTCCACGACTTCTATTCTGTTCTCCCCTAGGAACCACAGAGCCCCCGAAAGAAGCCAGAGTTCGGTTGTCCCGAAATGGCAGCCTGTGCTGTCTGATGAAAGTCGCTTAGACATACACACGGCAAATCATAATTGGACCATTTCACTCTTTATACCAATAACTGATACAGTACCAGCGTTATTTGATGGCAGTGCAAAGTAATGGAAAGTATAATGGCTATTGAAAGAAGCTGAATGTTATGATTTGATGTAAGAATATACATATAGCAGCTCCTTTGTTCTCTTTGGTCTACCCTGGTACAAATGCACAATGAATCAGCAGGGTTTGTGTCTTGGATGTCTGGTTCATTGAAAATCTTGAAATACTGTAGTGCCAACTCTGAAGCTGGAGATTAAAGAACAAAACATGGATGAAAAAATGTATGGATGGAAAGTCACAATCTAACTCTGGCATTTCAAGTAAGCAAATGTTCTCTGTATGTGCTTTATATTCCATATTATACTGTGAATTCTGGTCAATTAGATTTGTTTTATTAATAATATACTTGCAAACTATGATGTCTTTGAATAAACAAGAATAAGCTAATAATATACATCAAACACAAAAAATAAGAAAACAATTATTGATACATGATAAATATTGTTTTTGAATATGTCTTGTATGGAGTCTATGTTGCAAATCACAAAGATTCTTTATGAGTGCCATCAATGCTCTCCCAGTGTTGGCAATGTTCACCCAGGGGTACATCCGATCACAGAAATGTCACTGGATTTGGTATGAAACCTTGACATTTAGACCTAAGATATCCATTGTGATTTTCAGCAAGTTTTTTTTATCATAACTTTCTCAGAGACACATGTAAGTTCATGCTAAAATAATAAATAATAATAATAAAATAATATTTCTGAAATGACACCTGCATGTTAATAAATATGTGTGATATTTCACAAGTGATATCAAAACAAAATTGAATGAAAAATGAAAATGCAATGGGTTAAACACACACACACACACACACACACACACACACACACACACACACACA